ACAGAGACTGCAGGGAACCAAACCTTCTTGCCTTCCAGGCCTTTCTCTCTCAGCTCTTTCCAAGGAACCAGGACTCTGTGTACTTCTTGAGTCCTTTCAGTCAGTCTCAAAGAGTGTCACTCCTAGGTGTAATTCTGAAACAACCTGCTTTTCCAGCTTCCTGCCTTTCCTTCTCCTTCTTTACCTTTCTGACTCCTGCTCATCCATCAAAATTTAATTAAAGCATTCCATTCCCAGGTTGGCACCCGTGTCACTCGGATCCAGTTTAGCATTCTCCCTGGGCGCTGTCAGGGAGCTCACTGTCATGGGTGGCAGCTCGCTGTCTCGTTCACAGCCATCACCTTTCGAGGTCAAACCTCCGCTCTGCACTTCCTAGCTATGCCACCTGTCAGACAACGTCCTTGCCCTGTGCCTCAGTTTCCTCCTTTTGTAAAATGGAGATACAAAATAGAGGATGGTTAGGATAGGGAGATAATGTTTTATAAAATGCCTGGAACAAAGCCTCCCGCATAACATCCTAACAAAGCTGAGCTACTTTGGTGTCATTCTAACCACTGATTTTTCTGGCCTGTTGTCTAAAACAAAGTGATTTTTGAGGGAAAGGACCTTGGTAGATTTGGCTGTGTCGTCTAGCACCCAGCATAGTATCTGGGACATAGGAGACACTCAGTTAGTACTATGCACTGAAGGAACAAAGAAACTAACGAAATATGTGAAACCAGAGTTTTAAAAATTTACCTTTAAAGTATGCTAATGAGCAAGACTGCCTGATTATATCCTGTGTAATTTCCTACTTGTGCATAAGATGTTAATGGTATCTCATTAACGTATTGTACATAGGCTCACCATTCTCAGAGTCAAGAATCTTCCACTCTTGACAGAAGGGTGCAATGTAGTTAATTAACAGGATTGCCATTCTGGAAAGCAATGTGTAAGCACGCACTGTAACAAAATTCCTTTGAGACACACACAGAGAAACAAAGTTGGAATTTCTATCAGAAAGAAATCAGCAGGCCTCAAGGTAAGAAAAAAAAAGAAAGAGATTGTTTAAACAAAAGTCTGTAAGAACTGAGCCCTCTGATAGCTATTCACGGAGAGAATTCTCTACCCACTGCGCTAGGAATCCTGACGGGAAAAAGAAAAACTGAACCAAGTATTTCAATCAATGAGGCTATAGCATCGTATCTCTGCATGCTGTGTATGGAAGAAATTAAAATCCACAGATAGAAGTAGATTGAGGTAGCCCCCAAAATACGATGCTCAGAGGACAAAAGATAAGAAGTTTCAGAGGTAATATCCTCAGAGAGACTTTGAGCCTGTGCTGATGTACAGCCCTTCCCTAGCTCATCCTGAAACCCTATCAGGTCAAAAGTCACACATCTGGGGATATATATGTCTTAGTATGCATTAGAGGGGAGAATTCCAGTCCTATAGATAGCCAACAGGCTTGTCTATTTCTTGACTCTCTTCCTTTCCCAGAAATTGCTTTATGCTTATCCTTTCTCTCCTTCTATCTCTAAGAACTATTTTACATACATTCTTGAAGAGTCCCAACTCATTTCTGAGGGGCCATCTTGCTTCCCTGATCCAACTCTTGACAACTGATGTAATAACTTTCTTCATTCTAGGATTGACCCTGTAAGCCCCTGAAACACAGTCAGGACTGTTCAGGTCTATGTTTTTCCAAGTTGCAATTCTGATCAAATTGTATTTCTTGATAAATTTGTGCTTCAGTTTATCTTCATCTTAGTAGTAGCATCATTTTCTTTTTTCTTTTCTCCTTCCTTCCTTCCTTCTCTCTCTCTTTCTCTCTCTTTCTCTCTCTCTCTCTTCCTCTTTCTTTCTTTCTCTCTTTCTTTCTCTCTCTCTCTCTTTCTCTTTCTTTCTCTCTCTCTTCCTCTTTCTTTCTTTCTTTCTTTCTTTCTTTCTTTCTTTCTTTCTTTCTTTCTTTCTTTCTTTCTTTCTTTCTTTCTTTCTTTCTTTCTTTCTTTCTTTCTTTCTTTCTTTCTTTCTTTCTTGTCCTGTGGCCTGAACTCAGGGCCCCGAGTGATGTCCCTGAGCTTCTTTTGCTCAAGGTTAGTGCTCTACCACTTGAGCTACAGCGCCACTTCTGGCTTTTCCTGAGTAGTTTATTGGAGATAAGAGTCTCATGGCCTTTCCTGCCTGGGCTGGCTTTGACCCACAATCCTCAGATCTCAGACTCTTGAGTAGCCAGGATTATAGGTGTGAGCCACAGGAGCCCAGCTAACACCGTTTCTTATTTATTTACTTTGAAGAAGTTTTTCTTACATAAAGAAAGCTCTTTTGGATCTCAGTGGACATGTCATATAATGATGGGTGTCCAATATCCACCACTGTGGGGATATTAAGGAAAAGGATTTTCAGCTGTTAGTGTTATTAGTAGGTTACAAGGGACTCTGAAAAGAGACCCTCAAATCCCTGCTCATGAGTCTTCACACAGAGTAAATATATGACAAAAAACATGTCAGCTGTGACATGACAAGGTTATAATTTAACCTTCAGCTGCAGAGTTTTCACGCTTTAGAAAGGCTCTGAAAACACCTCTGAAGACTTTTCCCCATCAGTAATAGATGGCACTGTTGGACACGAGCAAGAAGCAGAAATGCTTGCTCTCTCCACACACAGTCTGCCCTGAGACCCAGGCCTGGCTTTCCAAAAGAGGAGGATATGAGACAAAGACAGGGAGAATGGGTCATTAAACAGAAATGAGAAAATTGCTAAAATATGAAATTGCCTTTTTTTTTTGCCATGGGATATTTATTTCTAAAACATGGCCCTACTAATATAGAAGTGAGAACATAGTTTGATTCAATTAATTTTAACAGAGGGAAGTGAAAATTCCCTTTTGTATAATTCCAATCCATAATTCAATACAGCATTTTAACTAATTAATAAATAATTAATTTTAGTTCTAAGACAAAGAATATCTTCCTCCAGTCTCCCATTCTGGCATGTCTGGCTCAGATCACATCCATAATGATCAACCCTTGGATGATAATTACAGTCTGCCAGATACTGAATTAAGTGTCCTGTGACTATCTATGTCCAGTCATCAGCACTACCTCCATTAATGACTAACCCCCATTTGAAAGTTTAGGAAATTGAGATACAAAGAGATCTAGCAATTCATCCAGCATCTGGATTTGAACTTGAGCAGGAAAGCCCAAAGTCTTTCCCTGAGTCATCCTTTCCTTTTTTTTTTTTTTTTTAATAAAAGTGTATCTACCCAGAACATTACAAGTCAGGATACAGCAAAAACACCTGCGTTCACGGATGCACTATTCACAATGGCCAAGTCATGGAAACAGCCCAGATGGCCTTCAATAAATGAGTGGGTCAAAAAATATGGCACCTATTTTACTCATCCATTAGAAAGAATAATATCATGTTATTTTCAGAGAAATGGATGGACCTGGAACAAATCATGTTAAGTGAGAAAAGCCAACTTCAGAGAGAAAAATGGTGCATGTGTCCTCTTATATGTGGAAGCTAGATCTAAAATACATGGGGACATAATAAGTTATATAGGGCTCTATGCATTTACATACAAACAAAGCAGAGTAACGGTGGCTCTAGGTAGGGGCGGAACCCAAAGGCAGAATTTCTCTGAACATCTAAAGTTCTATTTATCAGAATGAACACCAGAAAATGGAAATGTGTTTTTAAGGGAGGAGTTTTTTTACAGGGAGGGAAGAATGGAGGGAGGAAGGGTGAACAAATGCAGTCATAATGTAAAAAATCAACTATGTAACTTGAGGGTAGGGGTGGGAGGGGGAAAACGGGGGAAAGCGAAGGAAGGGCGACACTGTACTCATTACACCTGACTTGTGGGATTGCGACCTCTTTGTACAAGTTCTTAATTATAACAACAATAAAAATGAACTCAGCGGGACTTCTACAGAATGATGTTCATCTGAGATTCTCTTTTGAAACAGTTTATCACATAGTTAAAAATACAGAAGCATAAGGATAGTTATAAGTATCATCAGTTAATGCTGGAAATGGATTTGGGCTCATTCTTAGGACTAGTAGCATGAGTGCTCAGATGAACTGGGGAGGGGGACAGAACCTCCACAAGGCTGAGAACTTGTGAAGGAGCCATGGATACACACGGTGGCTTGAGGACTCTGACTTGTCTCAACAGTCACCAGAGTCCTGTGTTGGCAAATATTCACTTAACTTAGAAGCCCACGGACTGTAAATTCCTAAAGCTGAACTTGACATCTGAGAATACAAAGATCCAAAGAAGGCAAGAATGGCCCTTCTTTTTCTTTTGGAGTGTATTTATAGATTAATTTGGGGAGTTTATTACTTTGACACTATTAAAGAATCCCATTCAGAGCATGGCATCAGTCACTTGAATGGCTCTTCCTGGATGCAGTGGGCCACTTCCTCCTACGGGGGCAAACCTCCACAGCAGACCTCCTCACAGCCTGTGGCCTCAGGGCCATCTGGCCTGATCTAAACAGCGCATGCCCAGGGCCTGCCCTAGCTGTCTTCTGTGTCCTTGGTGACACAAATTCAGGGTGGGTTGGGGCAGGGTGAAAAGCTGCGCCCCCAGCATCCCAGCAGGTAAATTGTAAGCAGCTGTCTCCGTCACACAGCTGTTCTTATTTATTATTTGTTTTCCTTTGTGTTATTTCTCCTTCTTCCTGGCTCTCAAATCTCTTTACATCATCCTCCGCTTACTCTTGACCCACATCCTTGGAGAATTACTACATAAGAACTTCATGTGTATTTGCTCCCCTCATGGTATTTGGTAAATACGTTCTTGCCTGTGGGCATGTCTGCCTACAGCTGCTTTCTTGAGAGCATTCTGAGGACAAGAATCTGGATGGCACATATATCTTCTAGTCCTGTCCTGTTTCTGCAATGAAGAACATCATCTATACTCTCATGACAGGGTATCATGATCCCAATCCAGGACCAGCCTGAAGTTAAAAAGTGTCTATTCAGGTATCGACAGAACCAGTACTCACATTTCAGTTCCAGCTTGATGAAGTCCGTGTTTCCCAGATTTTCAAGAAACACTCCCCGGGGGATTAGCGTCTTGAAGTAGAAAGAGATGTCAGCACTTGTTTCTCCTTGGAAGGTAGAGAAGTGCAGATAGGATGAAGGGTTTGGGAAAGAGGCGGCATTCCAGTAATTCCCTGTGAGGAGAAAAGCCAAACCAGGTTCATTTACACCTTGATTAGGGTAATTGGACAAAAGATATCATTTCTAGAGTTTAATGACCTTCCTCCATTTCCCCAGAAATAATCTTTCACTTCTCCAACGTTACACACATGTGTATATACAAAAATTTACTTAGGCATATTTATTTTATATGTTATCAGTTCAATACCAGCACAGAAACTTATATACACAATTAATAAAATAACAATAGCAGTTATGGGTTAAGACAATTTCCACTATGTAACTCTACAAATAAGAAGAGTCAGATTAGTGAAGCAGATTCTACATTCTCAGGGCAGAAAGAGAGAAGCATCAGGATTAAGAAAGAGATGACAGGACATTACAAGGCATAGAGAAATAGAATGGTTAGAAGGAGAAAAGTAGGCATAGTCCACAACTCCACTCTTTTCTGGTGGAGGGGAGCCAAAGCTGAATCACAACCTCAAAGTAAGACAGGCAGCGTGATAACAGTAGATTAGCAGACCTAGCTTCAAGAGAAGCCGTTAAGGCTTTGGAGCCCTAAATTTAATGGGGAAGAGGGGTGGATTTGGTGTGAGAATGGCCCCTCCAACATAGCAGTCTAGCAATGGGGAAGAAATCTCTTTTTGTCCATCTCTGTATTTTTGGGGTGTGTAGACTTATTGTTTGAAACTGGGGACAGTCACAAGTCAGGGACCTGAGGTGTACCTGCCACAGTGTTTGAGCAGGAGATTGCCACCAAAGGCAGCCATGTGGATGATTGGAAACAGACCTGCTAACAGGGCAACAGGGAGCTGGGGCCATGGAGGGCACAGTGACCAGTAGCCCCACCTTGCACGGTGAGGAGCAAGACTTATCCCCTGTGGATTACTAGAGTCTGAGAGCTGACTCCAAGACCCAGGGATTGCACAACCACTGCCTTACTGTCCTGTGTAGCTTGCTACTCGGCAGGACTGAGAGCTCTGAGCCGACCTGCCTTGATTATCCCTTCTGCACAGGGTTGACTGTGGCTTGTGGAGATCTGAGAGTTGTGACACTGGGAGTCAGAGCCACGTTCTCTCAGGGCTTCCCCTTCAGTGAAGAACTCAGTGCTTGTTTGCTCCCTTTACTCTATGATATACTTGGCGGACACTGAAGGCTGGGATGTTTGCTGCCCCTGGGAGGGCCAACAGAAGAGAGTCAGTGGGAACCTGCCTGGTCCACAGGCAGCAGACTTGTTGGAGCCAGTAGTGACTTCTGGTATGCAAAGAAGAGAAGCTTCTAAAGTGAACACAAGCCTTGACAACACAATCTTGACCAACTTAGCCCTCAGCCCATATACTGCATCAACCCCTATAGTGGGTATAGAGAGGAACCACAAGACTCCAGCTGTAACCCACTCTACCCCCAGACTCAGTAGATTCTAATGTGAGAAAATCCTGAAAGAAGTATCTTCAATTACTTACCTCAAAAACAAAAACCCAGAATAAAACACAAACCCCAAAGAAACAACAAACAGCAATAGTTTTCTTTTTACTAGTTGTTTTAAATGCTTTTACTTTATCTTTTTTATACTTTTATCTTTTAAGTAGTTGCACAAAGCAGTTGCCACTCAACCAGACAGTTTATGAAATAATGCATCTTGATTAATATTGCCCTTTTCAATATTCTTGCCTATCCCTCCCAACTCATCCCTTCCCTCACTTTTCTTAATTTTGTAGGATATACACTAGATTCTTGATTGCATTCTCTCCACTTCTCATCTTCAGTTGTCTACCCCTCTCCTCAGGATTCTACCCTACCCCTTTCAAGTACCTACTTTTGACTTTGCCTTTCTATGGAATGAAATTATTTGAGTTCTCCCTAGAATCTACCATATATTAGTTACTACATTTGTATGCTTTCATACTACCCAATAGATTTACTTATAAGTTTATAAGCTAATTCTAGTTTCCACATATGTGAGAAAATTCAACCTTCATATCTCTGGGCCTGACTTACTTCACTTAACAATTTTTTTCCAGGTCCTTCAATTTCTTTGCAGTTGATGCAATATCATTCTTTCTAATGGATGAGTAAAATTCCATTGTGTATATATACAACCTTTCTTGATCATTCATCCATTGAGGGGCATCTGGGTTGATTCCGTACCTTGGCTACACTGAATAGTGCTGCAATGAACATGATTGTGCCGGTGGCTTTACTGTATCTTGGTTTGTAATCTTTGGGATAAATGCCCAGGCGTGGAATTGCTGTATCATAGAGTAGTTAACTGAAACCAGATTCCTATCTTTCACCTTGCACCAGCACCAATTCAAAACCAAAGATCTCAATGTAAGGCCTGAAATCATGAAATTATTACAGGAAGGAGTAGGAGAAAAATTAGGTCTCCTTGGCAAGGCAAGGACTTTCTGAGTAAAGATCCAGAAGCACAGCAAATCAAAGAAGGACTTGATAAATGGAACTGCATCAAACTAAAGTTTAGCACAGGACATAGCTAACAAGTTATAAAGACAGCCATAGAATTGGAGAAGATTTTTGCCAGCTACACATCAAATAATGGCCTAATATTCAGAATATAAAGAGAACTTAAAAAATTAAATTATCAAAAAAACCCCAATACCCAATAAATGGGCTAAAACGCATCTTCTCAGATATATTTACTCCCCTCATATACTTTGGGAAATATATTCTTGCCTTTGGGCATGTCTGTCTATAGTTGCTTCCTTAAGAACATCATGAGGACAAGAATCTGGATGCACATCTATCTTCTAGTCTTGTTTCTGGAATGGGGAAAACCATTGGTGCTCTACTTTAGAGAAAAGATAACCCGGTGTTGGGAGCACTGGATACCCACATGTTGAAGACTTAAACTAGATCCTTATTTTTCACCCTGTAAAATAAAATAACCCAAAATAGAGCCCAAATCTGAAACACTGAAACTACTACAGGAAAACATAAGAAAAACACTTCAAGATATAGGCATGGGTAACCACTTTCTGATTAGGGTTCCAATAACTGAGGAAATAATGGAAAGCATTGATGAATGGGATTGCACAAGATGGAAAAGATTCTGTGCAGTGAAGGATGCAATCATTGGAATGAAGAGACAGACTAGTGGACAGGAGGAAATCTTTGTCAGCTATCTCTTTGATGGGATTAATAGCCAGACGATAAAGAGAACTGAAAAATTCTAAACACTGAAAGGATGAATAAGCCAGTTACTAAGTGGGCAAATGAACCAAAGAGACAATTCTTCGAAGAAGTAAAAGAGGGTAGTAGATACATGAAATAATGTCCAATATCCTTAACCATCAGGGAAATGCAAGTCAATACTACACTGAGTTACAATCTCATCCCAGTCAGAATAACCAACATAAAAAAAGGCAAACCACAAGAAATTCTGGCCTAGATGTGGGGAAAAGAAACTTCATACACTATTGGTGAGTGTAACCACTATGAGTCAGTGTAGAGGCTCCTTAAAAAACTGAAAATAGATATATCATACAATCCAGAGATAACAGCCCATTGCATACACTGAAAGGAATTAATGTCATCATACAGTAGACATACATACACACCTATATTTATTACAACAGCAGTCACAATAGCCAAGATGTGAAATCAGCCTAGAGTGAATGGATAAAGAAAATGTGGTACTTATATAACAACGAACTTTTAATGAGCCACAAAGAAGAACAAATTCATGTTGTTTGTAAGAAAATAAGTGAAATAAGTTAAACTCAGAAAGAAATTTTGCATGTTTATTTTTTCTCTCATATGTGTTATCTAGAGAAAAAGAAGAAAGTATGAAGGGGGATTTTTGTGAAGAGGAAGAGAACCAGGGGGAGGTAGGAGGGGGATCAGTGTGATGAGTGAGGTGAAGATCATCAAAAATATTTTATATACATGTGTGAAAAGGATGTAATAAAATCTATTATGAGACACAAATTATATGTAATAATAGAAGAAAAACCAATAAAATATTAACGTAATTTATATTACATGTATATAATATTTGGTTAAATATTGGTCATTGGAATTTCTAGGAGGCATTCTAGGAGATAATTGCAGAGAGGAGCCATTGAGAGGAGCTCCTGGTGCTTCTGTATGGGGGCTGGTGGTGTTGTTGGAACTTGAGCCTTCACACCTGTGGCTTTGGCTTGGTATAGAAACAGCAGGCTCAAACTAAGCGAGATTAAAAAATAAAAGGAGGAAATGGGGATTTTTGGTATGCGGCACTTGCTTTCCCCCATCTTTGTCTCAGGATAACCAGGGGCTATTCCAGTGGAAGCCGGAAGTTCAGACCCCAGAATTGGGATTTCACGAATGAAGTCCTGTAGTTGCTGAGGAAAAGTGGGAACCGGTCAGGCAACCAGATGAGATTATGGCCATTTCCTGCCTTTTCCGTATCAAGCACCCAGAAGTGAGTTGCCATATAGAGATTATCTCTTCCCTAATTGTCCCTTCCCTCCTGGAACCTCCAGAAGAAGTTCTGACCAGTGGCGTGCTTTGTGGGGTGGAGATCTAAGCCTCAACTCTGGACCTCGTGGGAAGATGCCATGGGACCTGCCACCTCTCTCATTATTGCCTGAAAGAGAAGCCACGCAAGTAGGAGAAAAGCAATGCACAGGACCAACAAAACCCCTCAACTTGCACACACCAATTCCATTAGGACAGATGGCCTAAGAATTTTATATTGAGACCATGATGTGACTCTCAACTTCACTGCCAGGGAAGAAATTTCTTTTTAATGTGCATATTTCTGAGTACATTTGCTATCACAGTTGAAGACTGAAATATATGAGCACGTTTTAAAGCCATTGCTAAAGCCTGGGGCTTTAATATCAAATCAAAAATGATTTTGTAAAAATTGGTTCTTGGTGTATCTTTCCTTGGAAGAGCCCAATGAATCAAGTAAGTCCACTTCATTAATTTTTCTTCATAAACAAACTGTGTTTGCCTTCCTTTTATGGCAACGATGTACATATGTAATAAAACCACTACTCTTAAATAA